AAGATATTATTGTCTTGTCTGACCTTTCCCAAGTGAGAGATACAGCATCCTACACAATAGTTTCTTGGTTCATGCTTCAATTACTGACCTTTACTGTGTAGAAAATTAATGCAATTTTCATTGTAATCCATCCGTACAAATAAGGCCCACACGGAAGGATTCCACATATGGAATCTAATACAAATAGGAAATGTCAACCGATTGCTGGTGGCTGAACTTACCCATTATCTGTTTGTTCTGAGGTCCCTAGCGAACTATACTTATAACAAGCAATTTCTTACATGGGCCATCAGGTGTAAGAAAGAAGGATTTCCTCTCTTCAAAGGTGAGTCTGAATGTTTCATCTCTCAAAAGTAAAAAAAAAAAAATCTAGTTACCCAAAACTTTTATGCCATCACTAAAAGTTCATGAAAGAAAAGACAAAATTGTGGTTTTTCGAACACACATTACCATCATGTGCTTTCTGCAACGAGAAGGAACAAGAAGCTCTAACTGATGTCATTTTACAACCATCTCTGTTCCAGACAGTAAATGTGTGACAGACCCCAGACTGCGTTCTGTTCTGTGCTTCAGAGACAGACACAAGAAGGGATGGGAGAGGGGCAGGGAGAGGCAGCCTTTCATCTTGCAGAGACTTCTGGGATGGTACTAGATAGAAGAGGAGCTAGCAATTAAGGAGTGTCACCGTCAAGATGAATTGTTTGGGGATAGAAAGGAGTTTCTCTTCTTCTCCAGTTGTGCCTGGAATGGCCGTGTGTTTATCACTCGTAAACAGTCCCTCCTGGCACGGATGTGTTACACATCCCAGGAGCAAGGTCTGTCTTGTCTAACATGAGGCATGAGAAGCACCCAGTGTGGAGAACACCTCCAGACAGAACGCCGGCGTGAAGAATCACCAGTCACTCTGGGCACAGGCCTAGGATGAGCACTTGAAGTGGAGCAGGCTACTACACACTGAGACAGAATGATGTGTAGCTCTCTCTAGGGAATGCACCCTCCAGCAGTCTTGACTTTGAACTTCAGGCTGAGCTAAATCTAGTTCTGCAACTCTCAAAAGAGAAGGGAGCATCAAGGCCAACTTCCTAGGAAGGTGCAGTCAGCAGAAGGGGCAGAAAGAGGAGTCAAACTTAAGAGTTTCAATTACCTCCAGCTAGATATTGCAGGGAAATGCAACATTGAGGACTCAAGTATAGTAAAATAATAGTAATAATAATAATAATAATGGTAATGCAATGGCTATAAAAAGTCATCTTAGAATACTTGAATGAAAACATCTTAGAAATGGTCTCATCATCTGGGTACCTGTAATCCTAGCTACTCAGAAGGCTGAGATCTGAGGTTCACAGTTCAAAGTCAATCTTGGCAGGAAAGTCCCAGAGACTCTTATCTCCAATAAACTACTCAGAAAGTGGCGCTCTGGCTCAAGTAGTAGAGTACTAGCCTTGAATACAAAGAGACTCAGGGACAGTGCCCAGCCCTTGAGTTCAAGCCCAAGAACCGGCACATGCACACACGCGCACACACGCGCACACACGCGCACACACACGCACGCACACACACACACACACACACACACACACACACACACACACACACACATCTATGGCCTGATTTTGTTGCCTTTGAAAATACTCCTTTATCAGATAGCCCAAAGATATTGGGTCACAACTTTCTCAAAATGGGGGATGGGACCTTCAACCAGGAGCAGCTCATTTAAACCAACTTGGGCCAAAAGAGATAAATCTCTCACTTCTGAGCTTTGGTATAAAAAAAAGTAGAAGTTTGCCTAGTGTGATTTTTTGTGATATAATAAGAAATGTATATTTGGTTTGTGTCCTGGGCTCATGGCCAAAGCTCCAAAAGCTCTTGGAATTGCCCGAGTGAAAAAGAGTTGCACGAAGTATGTTTTGTTCTGTTTGGTTTTATCCTCCATGCCTAAAATCACTCTAGAATGAAGAAAGGGAAAGAGAAACTTTTGCAGTTGAAATCATGATTTTTTTTGCACCTCACTTTAAGTTAATGATGCCTTTGGGGTTGTTTGTTTTTAAAAAATAAAGTAAAATTTATGGCCAGGCACCAGGAATTCTCACCTGTATTCCTAGCTAGTCAAGAGACTGAGAATAAGAGGATCACAGTTCAAAGAAAGGCCAGACAGAAAAGTCTCTGGGACTTCACTTCCAAAGTAACCAACAGAAAAGCTGAATGGGAGGTGTGGTTCAAGTAGTAGGACACAAGCAAAGTGAGCTTTGATTCAAATCCCAGTACTGGCAAAACAAGTGAAAAAAATGTATTACACTATAATGTCTGAATTAACCTTCCAAGTTAGTGACTGTAGTAGCAGAAGCTACTAATTCATCTCCTCAAATTCTCTTGCTTTTATTTACTTCGTTTAGTGCCAGTTCTAGGACATGAATGCAGGGTCTGAGTCCTGTCCTTTAGCATGCTTGCCCAAGGCTGACACTCTACTACTTGACCCACAATCCCATGTCTAAATTTTTGGTGGTTAATTGGAGATAATAATCTCACAGACTTTACTGTCTGAACTGGCTTCAAACCAAGATCCTCAGATCCAGCCTCCTTCTAAATAGCCAGGATGACAAGTGTGAGCCACCAGTGCCTGTCCTTTTTGAAATACCTTCCTCTGGAAGATTAGCAGACCTTGTTGCATTACAGCTCTCAGAACACATTTCCTTCACAAATTTAGAGAGGAAACTCAAGAGAGTCTCCTGGCTCGGCACCTTCACATTCATGTTTTTTCATGCATGCCATACAGAGCAGGCTCTCAAAAAAATGTTTTTTAGAATGACGTTGTACCAGTGAAAAGGAACGGGTAGGAAACAAATGCCCAACACTTTATAGTCTCAGTAAGTTCTGGGACAACTGGATTTTGCTATTGCTACCGGATCCCATGTGCCAGCCCCTCCTCCTCACTCAAAAGCACTGAAGAATGGACTGTGACATGTGTTGCTGAGCTGGAAGTATCACTTGATTCCCCAAGCAATGTTTTTGTGCCTGGAATTAGTCTATCTGAGGCACTGAATCTAGTAAAAGCTTTATCAACCAGGATGAGTCAACATGAGACCCACATCTGAGCCATTAAAGCTAATTAATAGATCCTGTCTCCCTGATTTAGTCCAGTGTCAAGCACACCAAAGACTGCCATAATCCTCCTCTTCTTCCTGTTAAGAGTCCCATTAGGAATAAAATCCCATGAACTGGATTTTAGAAGAGCCATTAATGATGGGGGGGAAAAACTGGTTGGCAGGGAGACCGGCCATGTGACCAGAGACACACCTGACTGGCAGACAAACCCTAGACTTCCGGAAAAAGGAGATGGCTGGAGGCTGAGAGATATCAGGAAGGTGGTGATTGAACCATCCTTGCCTTCCTACACAGCCACAAACAAGCCAAACAGTACAAGGTTGTGTTCAGGTTGGTACTGGGCCTGGAGGAAGGGCACACTCCCACTTCCTACCTTCCCCTGACCACCAAGGCCATCTGGCTGGGCCCAGAGTTGTACTCTTTAGAATAAATCAGTGAGTGTTTCCTGAGGTTTATGAGGCATTCAGGAGGATCTGTCACATCCTTGGAGGGGGCTGAATAACAAGTCAGTCCAAAGGACAAGAAGATCCAGACTTGTGATTGGTACCCTCCCAATGAGTGGACAACAAGTTCACTGGCACTCAGCATTTTCTCTGTGAATATCTCTGGGTATGCACTTGGCGTAGCCATGACCATTGAGATTCGAAGATTTTATCATCCAGAAACCATTCCTACTAGTTCCTCAGAGAGCAGGTTGCATTGGATGGGACCTCTATCCTGGAAAAGGTAGATTTCTTTGTAACTATGTAACTTGGTTTCATCATTTGGCCAGTGATGGTCATCTGGAGCACAGCAAATAGGATTTACATTGTAATCCACCCATTTTCTTCAAATGGGCAAAAAAAAAAAAACCATCTGGTGTACTTAATTAATTTTTAAGGCCCTCGATGACATGGATGGAAATTTTATTGCATGAGGATTTGCTGGCATGCTAGCTCTTACGGTTCGCCTTTCAGTCCCTTCCCTCCCCCTCCCCCCAGCCTTCTCCCTGCGACTCACGCCAGCCCCATAGATCCACAGGTTTTGTTTTTTGGTTTTTGGTTTCTTAAGGGACTGCAAACCCAGGAAGCTTAGAAATATCTCACTTGGCATTCTGCTATTCCCCCCCCCCATTTTCTTCCAGAAGGTTTGTCTGCGAGTGTAATGACAACAAAAGCAGCAGATTTGAGAGACTGTCCCAGGAGGAGAAAAGGGACAGATGTACACAAGACATGGAGCTGCAAACACTGCCAGCAACAGCTGGACGAGTGACAGGCTCGGAAGTGGGTTGACCGCACCGTAGCGCGCGCACAGCCCCACGGAGCGGCGATCTCCCTGCCTTTCTCCCGACTTCCCCTGGGCTGCCTTTTATCTACAAAGGGGAGGCCTGATCTGGGCTTACATCCAGCCACAAGCTTCTTGGTATGCTTTTCAGGACACATTTCTTGCTCTACCCCTTCTCACCACCCTACTCTTGACAGTCCTAGAAAAGCGCACAGACTTTTACACAGTCTTCCAGAAAGATACACAATTAGGAGCTATCAATTGAAAGAGATAAAACTGGTAAGATCTGTAAGACAAATGCTACTACTATCATAGTTGGATAAGGAGGCAAACTTAGGGTACAATTATTCTATGCTGTTTTATATCGTTTTGGTGAGGTTCTTTCCCCCACCGTTTTATTTGCATCAACTAGTTGAACAACGGTGCCGGGAGGTGTCAGCCTGACCCCTCTATGTCTGCCCCCACATGCCTTGATTGCATTCACCCTCCAGCTCTCCAAGCCTATCTCGAGCTATTCCATCCTACATATCCAGAACGTATGGATTTCAAACAGTCTTACTATGCTGTGCACTCTGTATAGCTCTGCTGCCAGCATGAATGCCCTTTTCCAGCTCTCTCAGGACGAGTTCACGTACCTTATCATCATCGTCTTCCTCCTCCTCTAGGTCTGTGCTGTCCTGAAAAGAGACACCCGCCCCCCACACCCACAATTCATTAGTACAGATTGACTGCCAGTTACACGAGGCAAATGAAGCTCATGCACCTGCTTAACTTCTTTCTACGGGCTTAAACATTGGCCTATTTAAGGTCCGCTATAACCCTCTCGTGTAATCACACGTTTAAAGTTCAGGGACACGGTGGCAAGACCGTAAACAAGAAGTACAATCTACATAAAAACTGTGAACTCTCAACAAAGCTATGAGGTGAGCGCCCTCTGCAGGTGTGCAGCTGAAGGAAAGCATCGCTAACCTCTACCGTCTAAGACCAGTTTTTCTCGCTCTGTGAGGGCCAGAAGCTGTACTCTTCCATTTGTGCCAAGTTTGTGGTCACAGTGACTTTTCTCTTTGAGACCACACCTCCCATTAGACAGTAGAAAACACATTGGGCTGCAAATAATCAAATTAAGTCACAGGCTTTCCTGTGCCTTTATGAGTTTCCTCGGGCTCCTGTGTTGAAAGGCCTAAGGAGAGAAGAACAGCCCAGGCTCCAGTGTTAATGAGCAGGTGTCAGGAATGTATTTGGGGATGTTCCTCATGGCTCAAACAACATTTGAGCAACGTGGTGATGGTGATGGTGATGATGGTGGTGGTGGTGGTGGTGGTGGTGGTGGTTGATGCAAGACAAACACCAGTACTGTATGAATCTCTGCTTACCTGGCTATCCTGTGTACTGTTGACCTTTCCTTTCATGGGTCCGATGAAATTGTAGACAAAAAGCAGGAGTAATGCCAGGGGGATCATATAGAGTTCAAAATTCCAGACCGTGACCAAAAACACCTGATTGGAAGACAAATAACGTCAGACATGTTGGATAATAAAACAGCAAGAGAGCCGGGTGCCGGTGGCTGGAACCTGGAATCCTAGCTACTCAGAGGGCTGAGATCTGAGAACCGTGATTTGCAGTCTTAGACCCTTATCTCCAACTAACCACCAAAAAGCTGGAAGTGGAACACCGGCTCAAGTGGTAAAGCACTAGTCTTGACTGAAAAAGGCTAAGGGACAGCACCCAGGCCCTGAGTTCAAGCCCCAGGAGTGGCACAAAGATTGATAGACTAGACAGACAGACCAATAGATGGACGGATGGACAGAAGGACAGTCTGACGGACAGACAGACAGAAATCTATTTCCTGGGCTGGGAAGGTGGCTCAATGGTAGAGCGCTTGCCTTACATGCATGAGGCCCTGGGTTCGATTCCTCAACACCACATAAGCGAAAAGAAAAAAGCCAGAAGTGGCGCTATGGCTCAAGTGGTAGAGCGCTAGCCTTGAGCTGAAGAGCTGAGGGACAGCGCCCAGGCCCAGAGTTCAGGCCCCACAACCAGACCCCCCCAAAAAAACAAAATCTATTTCTTTGTCAACCCTACTCATTATTTTTTTCTTCTGGACTTCTGTGTGTCACAAATCAGAGAAAGCAGCAGGGAAAATTCCAAGGTTACAAAGCACTAGGCCACACAGACCAAAGCCTTCAACTACAGAGGGTGATGACGTTTTTTTAGCTCAGCTGTCCAAGTTTAAAATGAGCAATATTTAACATCAAAATTCCAATTTCCAGACTTTCAGGGAGATACTTAGAACTTGCCCTCCCACTCCACCCCTTAGGTTTGCATCACTGGAGGTGGGGGATGGTCAAGCCCTGTGGAGAGGAGACAAGAAGGAACTTAGCGCCCGATCTCCACCAGCCTGGGAAATGCAAGTCTCCTGCATACAAAGACCAGCGCAAGCCCAGCTCTCAGAGCACCATGCTACACCCGAGTCAGTGCACGCATTGTGTGCAAACCAGACAAGCTCTACCTCCAAGAAACACACTAATTAGGATAAATGAGAACCCTTGATGAGCCGAGCGTGTGGCAGGACTGAAATCTTAGGCAAATTACTTCCAAATCTGAGCACCCCAAGCAGGGAAGGAAAATGGGAGAAAACGAGGGAGGGGGTAGCACAATTCAACAGAAATGTACTCATTACCTTATATACGTAACTGAAACCCCTCTGCACACCACCTTTGCAATAAAATAAAACTGAGCAACTTCAACTTCCTCATGAGCTCAGAAGCAGTCTAAAAGATGAAATAAGGAGATGCGTAGATATTGGCTGTAACTGTCTAAAATATCCACTAATATATGCCCGCTAACAAGGGCAATTATTGCATTTAAATACAGTGACTCTTCCTGTCCAAAAGCAATGTTGTTTTATTACTGAAAACTTTTAAAAGTTTTCAATATGTCACTATTGTTAAGATTTCTTGCTGTCTTATATTTGGGTTGCTATGTAAATAAATATATTTTTAAAAACACATTTCTTGCTGGGTACTGGTGGCTCATGCCTGTCATCCTAGCTACTCAGGAGGCTGAGATCTGAGGATCGCAGTTCAAAGCCAGCCCGTAGAAGGAAAGTCTGTGAGACTCTTATTTCCAATGAACCACTGGAAAACCAGAGGTGGCACTGTGGCTCAAGTGGTAGAGCATTTGCCTTAAACAGAAGAGCTCAGGGACAGTGCACAGGCACAGAGTTCAAGCCCCACAGCTGACCCCCCCAAAAAAATCATTTCTTGCAATCTATCCTCAAATAGATTATAACTTACACATACAAAGCAATCATTTGTTGGGTGCCTGTGGCTCACACCAGTGATCAAAGCTCTGCAGAGGCTGTGATCCAAGGGAGATCACAGGTCGAGGCCAGGCTGGGAAGAACAGTTTGCTAGACTCCTAAATCCAAATGAAACAGCAAAAAGCTAGGCTAGAGATAAGGTGATATGGTAGAGCACCAGCCAAGCAACAGTGAGAGACTGAATTCAAACCTCCTACTGCCAAAGATTCACCAATAAGTTATTATAGCCAGTGCTCAGAAATTAAACACCTGATAAATCAATCATGTGTTTTTCCTTCTCTCTTCCATGATGAAAAGTATTAGGGGACCAGAAAGACAGACAGACAGACGGATGGACAGAAATCTATTTCCTGGGCTGGGAAGGTGGCTCAGTGGTAGGGCGCTTGCCTCACATGCATGAGGCCCTGGGTTCGATTCCTCAGCACCACATAAGCAAAAAGAAAAAGCCAGAAGTGGCACTGTGGCTCAAGTGCTAGAGCATTGAGCTAAAGAGCTGAGGGACAGCGCCCAGGCCCAGAGTTCAGGCCCCACCACTGGCAAAAAAAAAAAAAAAGCTTTTGTACAACTAAAGATAATTAAGGAATACATTTTTAAAATGGGTAAGAACCAGAAATTTGACTCTTTTAAGCTATTTCCTGACTAGAAAGGAGGAAACGTTTCTCTCTCTTTTCATTTCATGTGTGTGTGTGTGTGCGTGTGTGTGTGTGTGTGTGTGTGTGTGTGTGTGTGTGTGCATGCGTGCATGCGCATGCATGCCAGTCCTGGGGCTTCAGTTCAGGGCCTGGGCACTGTCCCTGAGCTTTTTTGCTCAAGGCTAGCACTCTACCACTTGAACCACAGCTCTACCTCTGGGTTTTTTATGGCGGGGGATGGGGGGGTGGAAGTAGTTAATTGGAGATAAAAGTTTCACGCGCTTTTCTACCTGGGCTGCCTTGAAACTGTGATTCTCAGAGCTCAGCCTCCTGATGAGTTAGGATTACAGGCATGAGCCACCAACACCAGCTCATTTCTCACTATTTTAACCCTTGTATTGACAATCTGTTACTCTATTGAGGATGTAGCACTGCCTAGTCCATGCAGTGTGCTAGGTTTGATTCTCAGTACTGCAGACAGAATGAGAAAGGCTGGAGAATACCATAAAGAAGTTCCATATTTCATTTATAAGACTATTGTCATGAACTAGGCTCAAGAAAACTGTACAGAGAGGGTACGGTGGAGAGAAATGGTCGTGTTTCGACTATTTTGGAAGCTACGCCTCTATTTAAACCTCCACATTCCCACTAGAGTCTCTACTTTCCACTTTGATTGCATGATATACAGAAAGTTTACTGACTCAATAACTCATCAATAATCTTCAAACATCTGTTGAGTGTAAATTCTACACACTTCAAAAAAGTACTGTGTCTAGGCTCTATATGGATTGGCCTTGAATACAATTACACAACACATAATAACCTGGTTGATTCATGGTATTTATTCAAACTTTCATCAATTAGTTCTAGTTTGGGATAGAAATAAGCCCAAACAGTAGTTTGTGCCTTGTAGTTTTTTAAACAGACATGTAGATTGGATGTTTATGATCTTCTGCAACTAAATAATGCATATAAATTTCAAGCTATATGCATGTGTATTACACAATCATAAATATATGATCCTAAATATACTAAGGTCATCAATCATATATATACAAGAATCTTAGTATATATGCATTACATATCATACAGCATATCTCCTATAGATATAATGCATGTCATATATAATTCCATGCATATTAAGGTATTTATCATAAAATATATATCAGAGGATCATGTATATGGATAACTGTGATCTTAATATCAAATAGAAGTTGGATGTCTTCAAGTGGCTTCTCCTAGAGATTTTCTTATTAACTTTTTATTTCCCCTTTTTAATGTCCTAATGGGTTTTTTTTTAAATAGAAAGAAAGGCTTCTAACCTATTTTTATACCTGTGTGTCTTATTAAATAGTCTTCTCTTCCTATTTTCTTCTCCTTTAAATGTGAGGCATTTATTAAAATCCCATCACTTTAATGCTGTCATCGCACTTCTGGCCACTCTACACGTTACATTTCTTGATGATTTTATGGAAATGGTAAAAAGCCCAACAATCACCTATGGCCTAATAAAAAAATTCTCACACCACTCATAAAGGCAGAGTAACTAGTTTCCAAAGTAGCAAAGCACTACATGAAAGAGAAGAAGAGAAAGGAAGTAAACACATCTGATATGCCGTGACTATCACCTTCTTCCTCTGTAACAATCATCGTTTCAGATCCAGAATCAGATAATAAATTTCTCATTACGCATTTTCACAGAAGGTGGAAATTGGGCGGTTGAGAGTCTGGCTTTGGTAAAGATGTCTTTCCCAGCCATCAGCATCTTCTCTGTGCTGATTAAAGAGAGGTAGTTCTGTGCCCCTACACCTTCATTTATTGTACCCAGGATCCATATCAGAGGAGGTCAAGAAGAAAAAAAAGTGACTATCTGTGGTGGAAATCCCGTGTGTTAGCAAGAGCACATGGTAAAATGAAGCAAATTATTGTATTAAGTCACTCCACTTCAAGCTTCATCTCTACCACAAAAGAGGCAATATGGTAGTAAGGTCACGGGAAGTGTGCAATAGTTCTGGATAAATTCAACCCACTCCCAACAGAGGATGGAGCTGTATGAGGGGACCGCTCCCTGCACTAGCCATTCTTGAGTGATACTATTTTACAAGCATAGTTCCATCCCATTAGGAATCTTACCAAGAATCTCTTGTGGTTCCCCCAATGAGCATTGACTCAAGTGAAAAACCAAAATGGCGCGTGTAGCAGAACCCCACCCCCACCCCCGACATCCTTGGCACTGAGGACAGAAATGATGTCAAGACCTGGATCGTCCTTTTCTCTTGCAGGTGCTTTTAGAATGCTTGAATTATTCTGATCAGGAAAACACAGTTTCCCTTCAAAGCTGAAACATCACTGCTAATCAAGGAGAAATCCAAAATCCAGTCTTGAAGCACATGGGCACACATGTTCAAATACACTCCCACGAGCTTTCGCACAGCCGAATGGAAGTTCACATCAACAACCCAACAACCACAAAAAAAAAAATTGTATCCAGTCAATGAATGTGTTTAAAAAAAAAATTAAAACCAACCCAAGCAACAATCCT